ATTCTCGAAAAGTATGCGGAGGAGGTGGATCATCATGTTCATCTTGCGGCGTCCACGGTCCCGGATGAAAGATCTTGACCCACTGGGCATCTGGTTGTTGAGGGTCCGGGCACCATTCCAGCCACGCCATGACAACACAACTGCAGAAAGACGAGTTGATAGGTGTACGGCTGCAGACAAAACAAGTGAAAACAAGTCAACAATCAGAATGCAAAAGACCACTTTTGTAACACTGCGCGGCGCCAACATCATAGTCCAACTCTCCAGGGAGGCGAGAACGAGGATCAGCTATCAAGCGAATTAGATGATGCCGAGGAGGAAGTCATTCCAGCATACATGAGGTCCGGTGCACCCGAGGCGAAAACTGGCCTCGCTATGCTAGGATGTGGACGACCCAGGCGTTGATATCCCCTGGTGACCCAGTCCCTGTAGTACCAAGTGTAGAAGGTGGCGTACGACACCGGTTGCAGAACCGTGCCTGTGGTTGTGCCGCCCGTGCTTTCCCTGGGCCAGTACACCTCGAAGTGGTGGACCTTGCGCCATTCCCGATAGGTGGTCGAGTCATCCGGGGCCGGTCCCAGGGTGTCTGGGGCTACTGGATGCCACTGACCCGGAACATAGATTCGAATCCATTCCACACTCGTTCCTGCTCGACCATTGACGATGTCATAGTCAAAGTAACGAGGTAGGATCCATCCTGCTGCGCCCTGCACTGTACTATTGAACATTTCAACCCAACAAGCTGTTCAAAGTTGTTACGGTAAGCGGCGGACACACTGAAACGACATGCACAGCACCAAGCAAGACAACCCAATGTGAGTACACATGCAAAGCAAGCGCAACCGCATCTTTGTCCAACATGCTACTCAAGAGTCAATCCGACACATTCCAAGGATCATGGAATGGCGGCGGTGACGGTTCCCGCCACGCCCCATGCGGTACCGACGAGCCCACCGAGGAGTCGACGTCTGCATTGACGAGCATCGCGAATCCGATGGATTGTACAGGAGGTCCAAGTCGTTGGTAACCTCGTGTTTGCCAGTCACGGTACTCCCACACGTGGTAGGACACATAGGAGCTGGGCGTGGCTATGGGATCCATTGTGGTTCCACAGTGCTGTCTTCAGACCAATACACTTGGAAGTGATATGATCTGCGCCACTCCCGATACGTGGAAGCGTGCAGTAGGTCAGGAACAGGTGCTTCATCGGGAACGGGCCTCCAAATGCCCGGAGAGTAAATTCGAATCCATTGAACTCCTCTATCGATCTGGTACTCGAAATACTGGGGGTTCATAGCAGCAATACGGGCCTGCACGTCTGCTGAACCAATCTAAGGTCTGCGGCAAGGAACCACATGCATGGCCAATCGCACATATACGCTGAAGAGGGAGGCAACTTTTCAAACACAAGGTGAAACGCAGCAACGAGGTCGGAAATGTCAAACTCCTAGCTTTCACTGTCGTTGATGTCGCGCACACCTGCAATGATAGTGACCTGGCCGTCTACGAGCACAAGGAGAAAGACATTTCCGTCCATGGCGCAGGATGGCGTGACAGTAATGCTTGCACGCCGCCGAGGGGGATTTTGATGGACGGCCAGCACGCTTGGAATAAAACACTGTAAAGGGCCGTCGAGATCGCCGCGGCGCTGAAGCTGATGGTGTCCGGGATCGTTTGGACGAGCGCACTGGACTGCGTGGTTCTTCATCACGAGAGGGGTCACTGCTGTAGATCGAGCGGCGTGTGCGCTGCGATTTCGAAGAGGTAGGGTAGGATTGTCCGCGAGGGGCTGAGATCGAAGGGCTGTGTACCGAGGGCATAAATTGTGGGTGAAGAATCACCGGTGGTGGTGGTGGTGGTGGAGGAGGAGGTGGAAGAAGCAATGGCAAACTTGGCGGGGCCGGAGGTGACGTAGGTAGCCGACTGGGTCTGTCGAGTAGAGCCCCGGGTCCATGAAATTGTAACCACGTCGGCTGCGCTCCATGGGTCCAGGTAATGTACGTCTGTACAACTTGTTCCGACATGATTTGAGCAACTCAGGCAAGACATCACTGCATGTCAACAACATCACACAACCCGACAAGCAAGATTGAGTCACATGCGAGAAAGCC